TTTCAGAGAGATAAAAGGTCTTGATTATTTTCATGATCCAAATGCTTACATTTACTTAAGCCGTTAATAAAAGCTAAAATTTAAATTAAAAACATCCATGGAGGGAACATTACAAAAATATCATGCCGTACTAATATTGATTGGAAATGATATACCTCACTGTGAATAGATATGCATGAGGAAATTTTCATGCCAGAAATGACATTCTATAATGCCTTGTAGAACAAATAAGATTGAAAAAAAAACTATTAGAGTTTAAATACAATCGTTCCATATGGAAGAAATAAAGCAGCAAACATAGAGAGATATGTATGGAGGAAAACCATTATCATTGCATAATTTTAGAGAAAGAAAAAAACGTGGAGAAATATGGAGCTCTTGAATGGTCAATGAATGGATAAAAGCTCAGCTATCATTTCATTTTATTCAATTAATTGAAATTGTTTAGACAGTTTTATAGATGTAGCTACAGTTCTTTTACACATGCAAAACTTATGATACCATCCAATAATTGAAGTTGTAAACAGCACTTGTGGGCAGACCAAAAAGTATATTAATTACACAGGTGCTTTTTCTTTAAAGCATTGAGCAGGAGGATGGTATATATACTTTCTATAATATTTATCACATTCTTTGTTCTCTCTACCTTCTCTTAATGTTATCATCTCAAAAACATTGTCTGTGTCCTATCTCAAAACTGCTGGGTAAAGATTAGAACTAAGGAGGCTAAATTCAGACAAGGTTGAGGATATTGATTTTCCTCCACTGCTTTCTCTATGAGGTTTGCCATTTCTAGATGATGCTTTGAGCACCAGTTTGGGTGTCAGGAGGACAGGCATGATTAATTTCATTGTTATTCTGTACATGAATCCAGGTCAACAGTCTTTGAAGGAAGTAATTGTTGAATTACACATTACCCTTCCTGTTATGATTGTGTGTTCTTTTCAAAGGCTTGATTTATGTCTCTAAAAAATATGAATAAAAATGAGAGTAAATATTTAGTTAATACATTAAAAATATGTATATATATATAAAGATAACATAATATTTTTTTAATTAGATTGCCTTTGTCTTTACTTAACAAAATGAAATACTATTAGTTTTTCATTCCTGAAAAGATTTTGCCATTTTAAAATTCATTTTTTGTACTTTACAAGCATCTATGAAGCCCATGGAAAAGGAACTGCACTCACTGGTCTATGAAGAATATAGTTTACTAATTTTGACTCACTCCACCCTCAAGGGTATCATCTTTCTTTCTAGTATCTTCTGATAAGAGAATTCACTCTTTATTCCTTGTGGTTTCATTCACTCATTAATTCCCTACATAACTTGAATCTATAAGCAAAACACTCCAAAGGCAGATTCTATTTATGTGAGTGTTTAGGCAATGGTAAACAGAAGGCAAATTTAATCTTAATTAAGGCTGCTGATTAAAGACCCAAACAGGCAGTCTGATTTCTCTTGATTCTCTTGGTAGTGAAATTACATCAAGATATACATGAGAGGTGTGGGGTCGGGTGAAGATGTATGTGTGATTTAATGTAAATTAAATTGTCCTAAATATCAGAAAAAGTAGACTGGCATATTGGAAGTTTAAGTCTGAACTGAAATTTGCTGTAGTAATTACTCTGGACATGTTGGCCTGTTTCGTTAGTTATTTTTATATTTTGCAAAACTTTGAAAAGCATACTGTATATCAGACTACTCATGACATTAACTAAAATATGTTAAATAAATAACTTTCTCAAATCATTAAAATTTGGGGAATGTTTTGAAATCAAGAGCTATAGGAAAAAACAGTCTAACATAGTTTAGTTTTCCTTTTGTGGCAACTTAATGCACACTGCTAAATGCTTTACAAGGGAGACGGCAGTCTAAAAATAAATTCATTCTTCTCAATAAGTCTGTTGTTCCAACTTTTCTTTGTTCACTTTTCACCCCTAATGCATATACACTCTGTTATACTCGCATGAACACACACACACACACACACACACACACACACACACACACACACACTTTCACCTTCTCTTTTGCAATGTATTTCTTAACAAGCAGATGGAGCTTAAAATTTGCCCAACCCCTCACAAAGCTGTTTCTCTAGCAACCTTCCCTAAAAGACTGATTTCAAAACAAGCAAAAATGTTCTTTAAATCCCCTGCTAATCAATCTGGCATGACAACCTCAAATGATGGTGTTGATTATTATTATTTTGCTTAAAATGAAAAGTAACCAGGTATACCTGAAGATAGTTTAATCATAGCTGTGCCACAGAGGTGAAGGGGATGGTGATTAGTCTAAACTTGTTGGTTAAAAATAATCCATCAATTTGAAAAACCTCAATTCATCTCCAGTTCAAACCACTGTATCATTTCTTTCTTCCTGCTGGCTTCTGGTCAGAACATTAGTTGGAAACAATTAGTGACCATTAGGAAAGGTTCCAGGAGGTCAAGGTGCCATACACAAAGCTGGAAAGTATCTTCAAGAAACATAGACATTTAATTCCTTTCTATGAGCCGTGTGATAATTAATTGAATTAGAAGATTGCATCCCAAAGTTATTCCTTGTTCCAGTAGTTTGAAACTATTAAAAGCAAACCATATCTCTAATCAAATCTCTGTGACAATGATTTATTGTGTGTTAGTTTCCTTATATAATTTACTTCTAGAATATACTGCCTGCTTCTAGCCTCACAGGTGAAGGTGGGTTGTCCTGGAATCTCATTAGTCTGAGGGCATCTAAATGAGCTGAGTTTAGTTTCACCATTATTTTAACTTCAGGTGATGCAAACAGCAAAACAAAACCAATCTCAGGATGGCCATTTATTGCTCCTGGATTTGTTATAACTGTCTTGAAATGTAGCTGTATAAAACATATTTCTGGTTGCCTTATTTTGATATTATGATATATTACATCATTCTCTCTTCTTTTCCTCCCTCCAAGCCCCCCCCCATACATACCTCTTTGCTCTTTTTCAACTTCGCAATCAATTTTAACATTGATTGTTGTATCATATATGGTTCTCTATACATATATATATTTTAAATACAACCTTGTCAGTATCTATAATATTACTTGCATGTATGTTTTCAGGGCAGATCATGTGGTATTGGATAATCAATTGTTCTCTTCCCTGAGGAAGACTTATTTTTAGCATCCCTTAATTGCCTGTAGGGTTATGTTCTCTTGGAAGTCCTCTGTCCAGTTTGGCATGTCCACTTGTGCTGTCCTGGTTTAGCTTATGTTTGACCATTCATGATCATGAGATTGGAGTTTCTGACATTACTAGTAGATACAGTATTACAGAAACATCCCTATTCTGCCATTTAGAATCGTTCTTCCTAATTCTTCAACAAGGTTCCCTGAGCCAGAGGTGTTGGAAATTAATATATGTAATTAAAGATTTGTTTTTGTTTTGCCTGCATGTGTGAATATTTACAAATGTGTACAGTGTCCTCTGAGACTATCATGATCCCCAGGGACTAGAGTTAAAGAAGATAGTGAGCATCCAAGTGGATGCTGAGACCAAAACTAGTCAATCTGAAAGAGCAGTAAGTGCTCTTTAATCCCCTTACCATCTGTTCAGCCACCTACCTTATCTTTGTGAACCTTCATTTCATAATAGACCACTTGAGTCCATTGTGATATAGCATTTCCTCAGTGTGTGTGTGTGTGTGTGTGTGTGTGTGTGTGTGTGTGTGTGTGTAGCTTCTACTCATTGTTCAATATCATGGCATATTCTTGAAATTCCTTTTAGTCAGAGTGGATCCCAGGAGCACCTGCTCTGTTTCCAACTCTGTTGACTTCTTCCTTCTTCTTTTTTCTTTGTTGCAGATTGGCTCACAGCTTGTTAACTGATACAAAAGCACTCTGAGAACAGGCTAATTGAATGTATCCACCTTATAAGTAACCCTTGCAAATAGTAATCAATTCTAGTTTTAAGGTTCCAGGTTCTAAACAGCTTTATATGATGGGGATTTCTTTCTTTGAAACCAATATTATTTTCTTCTATAGTCTTCGAATTGTGCAATCTGCATTAAGACAAAGAAAATTTATAGGTTTTTAAAACTATGAAGTATCATTATCATTTAAAAATCTGCTTTTATTTGGACCTTAAACTCTTCTAAATTAATTGGTCTGACAAATCTTCAAATTCAGGAACCAGCAGACTCTTTTATTGTATATCTGTTCAATAATACCTTATTTATCATGATATTGCAACTGGAAAATTTGTTGAACTGCTTCTGCTCTCGCTTAAACACAGCATTATCAAACATAGCATTATGGTCCTCCCAAGGTTGTTTCATTTCTTTGGAGATTAGGCCCCTTCATTTCAAATGTGGTTCACATTTATGTAATAATGGGACTTATGAGACGCTGTGAGCCTTCTTTAAAATGTATACTAATGTTTTTATGGCTCTAACAGGCTCTAACATGTTGAGTACCATGGGTAATATTTCTTCAACATCTGTTTGGGAGAATTAAACATTGCAGTATCACACACATAATACACACACACACACACACACACACACACACACACACACACACACACTAAAATCTAAGTATCTGAAACAGAGGGGAACTTAAATACAAAGTGCTAAGACCTTATTGCTTATCTACTAACACATACCATGGACGCTGTAGTGTTCTCCCCAACATTTAAATTTAAGAAGGAAAGATGAAAACAGCACTGCATCTGTTACTATTCTCGTGACAGGACAGATTCCAACTTCACCCCTCTATTTACAGACCAACTTCTAGGAAATTAATACTGGTGCCTGGGTGTGATAAGGAGGCTCAGAGCTTGAAAATGAGCGCATTCCTGAGAGCTCTGGAGCAATGCTTAGATACACGCGTCGGCCTTAAGAAATTTCTGCCTCTCCCACATACACCAAACTCCTTTCAACACCCACCCTCACTGCAGCACTGAGAAACAGCCTGGATGTGGGGTTATTACAGAAGTAGCCACTGAGGGGAGCCGGTGCGGGACTGCCCTCCCACGTTGCTATGACGATGAGGCTGGCGGGCACACAGCCTTCAGAGCTAAGTGCTGGCTAAAGCAGGTGTCAGGTTGCAAAGAGCTAGGTGGCTGCGGGATTACTTAGAGCCCCAGGAGTGTCTCTGGAAAGTCTGGCTACTACTCTACTGCATCCCTCTCGGACATCTCCTTAATTCCACCGGAACACGCAGAGTGAAAATGGTCCACCACTCAGGCTCCATTCAGTCCTTTAAACAGCAAAAAGGTCAGTGAGAATTCGCTCCCTCCTCCCTGCCGGGACCACATCCTGATCTGCATTTCCTGCAGTTATGCAGGAGCATCCTTTCTTCCTGTGTGTTGCCAGGGGACTTTGTAAAGTTAAGACCCCATTTTATAGATGTTCCACCTTGTATCGGAGATAAGTCTGATATTCCAAGCTATACAGAGCCCCGGGAGGGAGCAAATCGTCATGCCAGGACTTGTTTGTATGTCTCTTAAGTCTCCTTCAATGCATTGCAGTGAACTCTTTAGGCAGAAAAGGTCCCTGCAGCACCCTGGGGGGTTGAAGACTGAAAATCTGGGTGATCTTTGTTCTAGTGTGCACTTCTAATGTCGCTTAAGGTTCACAAGAAAAAATTCATTACTTTTGCTGAGCTTGGAAAATTGTATGATAAATGAATTTGTGGAAAAATCCCAGAAGTTTGCATGTCCCAGATGAGGGAACTCTAATTTTTTGGAAAACTTTATCATCCAATCACATGTATGGTTATGGGTTTCTGATTTTTATAGTTATTGGGTTTTTCTTCCAAGAACTTCCCAGAATATAGTTTGGCTTGTACAATTTTCTTACTAGTTGCATCAACAGATTAAAAATTATTAACACTCTTTGTTCTGTTTTCTTACTTATTTAAGTAGCTTTTCATAAAGCACATATTTCTTTGAGAGACAGATTCTGGGAATTTCGTTGTCAGATGTATTTATTCAATTATTAATGCCAATGAATGAATGCATAATGGTAATTATGTCATATTTGCTCACATTGTGGCTAAAATATGCAATTCTGAAGTATTACATTTGTTCAATAAAATAAATATTTATTGAAATCTTATTACTCCCCCTCTGACACTGCTAGTATTCCTTCTTCTAAACTTTGGATAAAACCACAAGATAACTTAGTAGGAATTTATTCTTCAGGCAAAATATTGTGCTAAAAGAGCTTCCGGTCCGGAACTATAATCTGCACAAATTCACATGTTCCAGTGTCTTTTAAATGTATGTTGGAATTGGGGATGAAGTGAGAGACTGTGGGAGTAGCCTGAAATTTGGGCTTCTATGCAGTTCTATTTAAGCTCAAAGAATTCCAAAGAAAATTAAACTACTTCAAGAAGTTTGCTTTCTTACATCATTAAGCACGTATAAACGATCAAAACAAAAAGGAAAAATATGAAACTTTGAACTGCCTCATACCATTATGTTTTAATGCTTTGGGAGACCCAGAATATCTATGTTTTGATACATGCTGTATGTTAGGAAGAAAAAGAATGATCGACTTTGAGGTTGGTAAGTGTCTTTTTTATAATGCAACATGAGCCAGTTATTTTCAAATCTCACATTTTGACACACACATCTTTAGCAAAAACATAAACATGAGAAATGAAGGGCCCCAAAAGAAACAATATTCACCTTAAACTTACTTGTTCTTGTTAATTGTTTCTTCTTTTTTAAACATCACTTTCTTTCATCTGTTTTCCTCTCTCCAGTCCTTCCAGGTTCCTTTCAGTCAATTCCTCCATGTCCCCTGCTTAGTTTCAAGTTGATAGCCTGCTTTTCTTTGTTATTGTTATATTCATGAGTATATTCATGACTATACAACCTTTTGAGTATATTTTTATCACTTGTGTGTATATAATTTCAAGACTGACAACTCTTTTTTAGAAAATCAATAAGAGGTGCATCTAATTCGTCTCCCATCATACATTGTTTGCTTATAGTTCTTCGTCTAGGGTGGGACCCTGCTAGGAAAAGATAACCCACATTAAGGATCAGCTATTTTAATTTTTTCAGTAGGAAGAAGCATGATGACACCCTGTGTGCCATCTGATCTGGAAGTATTTTCCAGTACTGCTCACCACAACATTGCATACTAGACAGGGAATTAAGAACTGAAATTCTGGAGCCTTAGATATTAGACTTCCCTTTGGCACTGGATGAACAATTTTGGAAAGTGTTCATCTGCATTTGATATTGATTTATGCATATGTTTATGCATAATAACACTTGATTTCTGACCTATTCTACCTCTTCTGCTAATTACATATTTAATGTTAAGTATATAAACTGAGGGGGTTTCACCATATTTCTACCCATACATACAATATACATTGATCATGTCATCATCTTTATACTCTTTATCCCTGTTTCTTATCCCACTTTCTCTTCCCAGTGTCTTGTATTTTCATGTTAGAATCATATAATCCTACCACTTCCCCCTCAACTTCCACATATGGTAGAAAACACACATTATTCATATTTGTGAGACTGGGTTTTTTTTTAAAATTCTCCTCATCAAATTCCATTATTTTACTACAAACAACATAATTTCATATATATATATATATATATATATATATATATATATATATAATTTCTTGGCTTGGTTATTATGAATAATGCTGCAATAAAATGGATATGTAAGTAGCACTACATTAAGCTAACTTTCATCCTTTTGGGTAGAATTGGTATGTCCAGATCATATGGAAACTTTATTTGAAAAGCATCCATACTATTTCACACTGTGTTTACATTTTTTTTCTTTTGCTGGACAGAACAGGCAGTTAGCAATGTGGATTTTTTCTTCTGATCTAGGAGAAGAAAGCCCTATGTTTATTTCATGTTTAGGTAATTATTTAGCTAGTGAACCAATTGTGCCATTTATTTTTGTTTTATTCGAGTTAATTCAATATCTGTTAAAAAGCATTACTGACCACTCTGAATTGGACAATCAACCAGGAGTATCATTCCTGGGAGGAGTTAATACTCCTTCCCCCAGCAGTCATTAGTTGTAGGTAGTTATTTGTCCAGGAAACACAGAATACACTGTCATCATTCATTAATATCTAAACATTCATGAATAATGGAGAAGTATATAATTATACATTTGTTAATAAAATCTAATCACTGATAATGATCATTCTAATTAATAAAACCAATGGAGATATCAGAATAGTTATTTATTTTAAAAAAATCATTAATCATTATTCCTAAGTCTCCATTACCTGGTATAAAGCAGTAGTTCTCAACTTGTGGGTCACAACTCCTTTTGGGGGGGTCATATATCAGATATACTGCATATCAGATGTTTATATAACAATTTAAATAGTAGCAAGATTACAGTTATTAAGCAGCAGTGAAATACTGTTATGGTTGAGGGTCACCACAGCATGAAGAACTGTAATAAAGGGTCAAAGCATTAGGAAGGTAGAGGACCACTGATCTATATTTTTCTCTTTTTGTGCTGCATATTAATATTGGATGCTCTGAATATAGATGTAATATTGCTAAGTCTGTTAAGGCTTGTACATAATACCTAGTGTTCAATATTGTTATAGAATTACAAATATATGTGACAAGTAGTTGGGATTCAAAACTTAGTGATTGATAAAATATCCATTTTTATCATTTCTAGTCTTACCTATTCTTTTATTGACATAGTAGGAATATAAGATGTCCTCATCAGTACACACACACACACACACACACACACACACACACTTTGCTTTTTCTAGTTTTTGCTTCATTTGATTTTGCTTTTGGAGGGTGTCTTATAGAAACATTGGACTCTGATTATTATAAAATTTTTCATTTATAATCACACACTCTACCTTATTAATGCACTGTCCCTGAGGAAGTTTTTAAAAGTTTCATAAAGACAATTTGGATAAATAATTAACCTCATACATTACAGATTACAATACAGTGAAATTGTATTTATGCTTTCTATACTCAACCCACATTTATGTAGCTATTGTTTGCATTGTGATATAGCATTTAGAATATTTTCATTCCTGAACGTCTTATAAAAACTAAGAAAATAAAGTAACAAACAAAAACCCCTTTCCTCTAAAAAATTAATCTAATAGAAAATCTGAGTGATCTGCTGAGTCTATGTGAATCACAGACAAGTCTGTATTTTAGTGGGATTGATATTTTTCTTTTCACTAATTTTTTTATTTAAATTAAAAACAGTCTTATTTTACATACCAATCCTGGTTCCCTCGCTCTCATCATCCCACTCCCACTACCAACTTCCCATCCCACCCCCAATCCATTCCTTGGAAGTGTGTGAGATTTTTGTTTCCTGATAGTGCTATTTATCTTTCTACAGAGATCAACAATGCATGATTAATTTTTTTTCTGTTTTAAGTACTAAATTTCTTATGAAATGGAGAATCTTCAACAAATATGAGAAATATAGGTAATTTCCTTGTTTTTGGTGTTTCCAGGGTATATTGAAATGTTTATGATTGCATAAAAGTAGGAGAGTACACATGTTATTACTTAAGCACATCTTGGAGTAAACATAAACTGGCAAATTAGAACTGGTTCCTAGGTAAAATCTTACTTTCTTACATAGACCAGTATGCTATGATTCAGGGAACACAGGATGGATGAATATGTCATAGAAGATGGATGAGAAAAGACCAATGTGAGTTCTGGCTTCTCGTGGCTGTTTGTTTAGCAATATAGCCACCAAGATATTCAGAGATGTCATAGGTTACATCAAACACAGCCTGTCTCAATCATCTTGGGCTTAATAAGATCAGTTAAAGCTGGGAGGACTTCAATAAAAATCCTAGATGACATTTGGTTAAACACAAATGTAGCATTTTTTAAACAATTCTCCAGAATGAAGCATTTTTGTACTGAGATTAACTGTTTAATTATAATGGCTTTAATGTTTATATGGAGATCTGCAGACTGAAAATAACACCCATTCTCTTTTTCACTAAATAAATTGTTACTTCAAGCCTCTTCCAAATTCAACTGTGTGCTCAATTCCTGCTTCATGACACACAGAGGAACGTTTCCTGGGAATAGCATCTACTTCCAAATCTCTGCTTCCTAAACTTCATTTTTCCTTCGGAAATATCTTTAGTACCAAATCTTCCTGTACACTTAAGAAAACAAGACAAAAAAAAAAAAAAAGACAAATTTACTGAGAAAAAGAACTCATTCACCCTTGTACACTAATTCCCCCTAGTATTT